TGTGTGTGTGTGTGCTGAGTGAGAGATGAAGAAGCATGACAGACGTGTAAGGAAATAAATGGGTGAAAGAGTGAGTGAGTGAGTAAAGAGTGAGGAAATCATGTGGAAGTGTGAGTGTGAGTGTGTGTGTGTGTGTGTGCACGCACGTGCTGAGAGATGGAGAAAAAGAAGTATGAGAGAAGTGTGAGGACCTGAACATGTGAAAGAGTAAATAAAGAGCGAGGAAATCATGTAGAAATGTGTGTGAGTGTGAGTGTGTGTGTGTGTGTGTGTGTGAGAGAGAGAGAGAGAGAGAGAGAGAGAGAGAGAGAGAGAGAGAGAGAGAGAGAGCTGTGTGCAAGAGCTGCTGCTACTTGGAGGAGCTGTGCCTAGGAGCTGTGTACGGTGCTGTGTGGAGAGAGGGCTGTTTAAATGATGTTTAGCTGTGGCTGTGTGCAGACAGGAAGATGAAGCTGCCTAGAAAAGAGATGGAGAAGAGAAATGTATGTCTAAGAAATGGTGTAGCCATGTGAAAAGATGTGTGTCTGTAAAGATCTGCAGCTGTATGCAGCAGTGTGGAGATATGTAGCTGTGTGGAGACAGGAAGAGTCAGAGGCCATTAATTGGTTATTAAGATTAAGTAAAAGAGAAAGTTAACATCAGAGAGCATGTGTGTTTCCTTATTTCACCAGTAAGAGATGATTAAAACTTATTTCTAAATACACTCAGATAGAAACAGTCTGGCCGTTGCTGCCTTAGTGGATTCTCTTGCATTACCCTGGAGGTGGCCTTGGAGTAGGCTCTCCAGAAGGCCCCCAATACCTTCATTCTGCTTGGTCCCAGCACTGCACAAGTCCCCATGGGGAATAAATGAGAAGAGGAATACAGGACATGACAATGTGTTTACCATCCATGTTCACCACCTGGGGGGTTAACAAGTCCCAAGATGCAAAGAGGAGACCTGCCAAGCATCCATCACGGTTGTCCCATGAACCTCCCACTCCCAATGAACTCAAGAGGGTTTCACTGGAGCAACACAGGCACATATGGTGTGGGATTCACAAGAGTGAAGGAGGTGGTTCCTCTCCTCATGGAGATGGAGCAAGATAAGATGGACAGATCTCAAGTCAGCTCAGGAAGTGGCTTATCACAGAGGAGGGACAGCATGAACAAAAAAGGAAATGCTCTCAAAGGCTGGCCATAGGTGGCAAGGTTGTGAAGCCCTTAGCTGAAGGCTGGGGGACAGGTGACATCCTCAATCCATGGCCAGGGATGTGTCTCTCACTGGGAGTGATGGGAACCTGTGCCCCTGAGTCCTGGACCTTCTTCAGGGCACTTCCTGTACCAGTTCATCTGGAGCCTCCCAGGGGAGCAGGAAGCAGAGGACAGAAAGGAGAACTTGACATATGAACACTGGGCTTTCTAGAAGAACACTGCCCCTCCTCCTCTTTGTCTTGGTGTGGGCAGGAGACATCAGAGCTGAAGAAATGACCCCAGGAGTGACGGGAGTGTGGCTGCCTTCAGCTCTGCTCCTCTTGCAGGTCCCAGGTGAGCAAGGGGATGGGGGTGGGGTGGGGTTACAACTCTGAAAGGGGATCTCCTGGAGTAAGTGAGAGGGCAGGATGGGGGATGGGAGGTGGGAGAGAGCAGCCAGCAGAGGAAGATGGGCCCAGAGTGAAGACAAGGAGTGGGGGTAGGCAGGAGTGGCCAGCATCACCTCACAGGTGCTGTCAGGATGCAGTGCACAGTACAGTCATGACTACCACACCTGAGACAGTCAGGACCTGCCGAGAGGGTTAGCTGAGACAGGCATTGTCATAACACCACACAATCTCTATTGTGTAGACGCATGTATTTGCATGCATATGTGTGTGCATACCACACACACACAAGCACTGACTCCTGCATATAAACATGTCACACCCACAGAGACATACACATGATATGTACATAGGTAAAGACTCCCTCATTCCCTCTCTTTGTTTTCTCTCTCTCTCTCTCTCTCTCTCTCTCTCTCTCTCTCTCTCTCTC